TTTTTGAGTATCGTTTTCTAATACTACTGCGTTAGGTCTTGGGGAGGTCTTAATTAGGAAATAACTTAATAGTACAACCTCCTTTGAGGTTGTATTCTGGTAAATTTGTTTGTTTTTCACGAATTTAAACCCAAGACTTGTCACACGCTCGGCCAATACTCTATTGTAAGGAATTTGTTATTATATATTTATTTTAATATCGACGCTGTTTAGATTAAGTTTATATTTAAAAACATGCATAGCCTGTACTGTTAAATATGTATTGCGAAACTCCCGCCTATTCTCCAAAGTTGTAGAAGATTCTTGAGAGTAAGAATAAACAATATATGTGCATACGTAAACACTTAAATTGTATTGTTACGTAATCTGAATTTTCTAGAAAACCTTCCCACGGCTATAAATATAACCACCGCAACCCGCCAAGGAGAGTATCTATAATAAGTTCGCTATAGTCGGTGTGCTATAAACTTTGTAAGTTATAACTGTGATTGTTATAACGCTTATCAATCGGAAAACTTCAGATATTTGACCAGGAATATTTATAAATTTCGAACATTACAAACCATTTAACTTCAGTGGATTCTCATCGGACATTAATACTTTTACGAAGACATTACCTAACGTCATCGGTGGAAACTCAATCTCTAATAGGCGTATGAACAGTGAAGACTACAGGGCTAGCTAGTTTCCTGTAAGTGAAATATACCTACGTCAACTCGTAATCAACTCGCTCATTCTGAACCCTGGTTAAGATATCAAAGAAGTTCCAGATTAAAAGAGACTATATTGCTTGTAAGTTTGTAAAATTGTTGTTTGTAAATCATTGTTTGTAATAACTATTTGTAATAACCGTTATTGTAAATTGTACCGTTGTATATTAAAACGTATTTGTGTTAAAAAAGAAAACTGTGTATATCAATCTTGTTGGCAAATATCATAAACTGACTATATATCGGCATTTACTTAACTACTAAATCCAAAGTACAATTTAACTACTAAATTTGAATTTATCAGTTAACTCAATTTCAGGCTATTTGAAATTCTAATACGTAACATCTATCAACTGAGCTGAAGGGTTAATCTGCTAGCGCATGCTAGTAAGTAATTGTAAAACTAACAACACAGAGTACTACAGTATCGCCCAGATTTAATGCTGCTAAATTCCAGATAAATGTGGTTAATTTGCATAAGAAACACGAAAAAGAATTTTAGTGAAGCCAAACCTGTAAAGGTAAGGTAACACCCATGAAAAAAAATTACATATCTTTCCTTCATTACTTAGAATATGTGGTTATTTATGACTGCCTAAATTACTTGCATATCGTCTAACTTCAGGAAAACGTGGCTTGTGGTATTCTGTTCATTCAGATGCATGACACTGCCCGTTTAAAGTATTAACCGATAACTTCATAATTTGTTGTTGTTTACAGAACCCTTAGTGAGATATTCTGAAATGTATCATTACGAAAACTTTGAAATGTCTTATTTGGGATTGTTGCACTTTCTCATTCATCGGTTGGTTCAGTGTATGAATCACTCTGTGATACATATATACGATAAACTTTGATATTGGTCAGTAATAGCGTTACACTGATGTAGAGAATAAAAAACATCTCTAGCGATGCAGTTATTGCTATACTGTAGTTCCCCTTCTGTTAAAAACTTTTCGGTAAATTTTTTGAAGGTAGTAAACGTAGTGATTAGCTATGATAATAACATGAAGGAATTTTTTTAGTTTAGAATTTAAACTAAAGGAATTAATAATATTTGTCTGAAATTCAATTAGAAAATGAATATATGTTGGCTTGAACGTTCTTCTTTTCAGTGACACATGCTCAAACTTAATTATTTTCTTTTTCATTCCGCTGGTAATAACTTTCACAATGGAGTTCATGCGACCAATAGTAACGGCGCGGCATGGCCAGTTGGTTAGGGCGCTCGAATCGCAATCTGCGGGTCGCGGGTTCGAATCCCCGTCACACCAAACATGCTCGCTCTTTCAGCCGTGGGACGACTAGCTTTGCGCGAAATTCATAACAAACAAACCAATAGTAATAAAATAAGTAAGCAGTCAAGGTGGTATTTTACAGTTCCCTAATGAGGATTCATGTTTCTGGTTCACAATTATGAATAAGTTTCATAAGGCATAATCGCAAATAATTAAATTAGTGGTTTAACTAATAACTATAATAACTAGCGTTGTTATAAGTCAGAGGGTTCCCAAACTTTACCTTCTCATGGCCCAACGAGTAGCCATGGAATCTTCTGTTTCAGTAAAGAGTATAGTAGTGCTATTTTATTTATTTCTCTTTTTCTTTCTTTTATGTGCTCAGACACATCTTAGGATCGTTAATTTATAAATAATTTTAAAATAAATGTTTTAATTTTTCACATTTTACTACCAATTCTTCTAAACTCTTGAGACCCATCCACTAAAAATAGAACTTCAGCGAAGTTTTCTATGAGCACAAAAATGAAACTATTGAGAAACTCGCTGAGAGTTTTACAGTTTGTGTAAATCATAAAATCACCGAGATTACATGCTTTATTTAATAGGCTAATTAAGTAATTACATGAATAAAGCCCATTATTGATTACTGTTTGAGTTATAATTGTTTTTGTCAAAAATTTAAAAATTCAATGTAAACAATTTTAAATTTCCTTCATTTTGTTTTAGCTTCATTGACGTATTGTTAGACTTTTGTGATGTTTGATTT